TATCTCTCTATCTCTCTTTTATTTTAACATGCCGCTATCGTCTTCCATATAGCGCCCGCCGCGCGGCGCTCAACTTCTTTTTAGATGGGTAAGTTGTCGCCTTGCGTCATCCCGATACTGTACACGCTAAATACACAGCTGAACGTTTAAATTTAATCTTTACGATTATTCCCCTCAAGGAGGACGTCTCGAAAGCCGAGGGAGTGATGTGGAAAGCATCGCGAAGAAGCGAGCGAGCTCGAATCGGTGCACTGACAACAATGAGCGAACGAGCGGCAACCCGACACTCGCAGCTGTGTCATCTCGTGTGTCGCGTTATGTATACCACTGCACTCGGACGACACAGAGAGAGAGAGGGTTCCTGGAGAGAAAGGCCCAGCGGTTGGCCTCGTCTTTGGCGAGAAAGACGAAACCGCGACGACGACGACGAAAAATGTGACGCACGTGTTTTCTTGGGAGCCGCGCATCCCGAGCCGACGAAGAGGATGTCCCTACTTCCACGGTGTGTCCCGCTATACGCGAAACATCGCGCGCTTCGAGACCATGGGAAACGCGGATCTTCGTCGCGTCAGCAGACTGGTCGCCTTCGCCGCCGGGAAAGCGCCGGAGGCGAGAGGACAATGATCTCGCTTGTATTTCATCGTTCCCGAGAGCTTTGTAACGTTGCTCGTTTATGTAAGTGTATTTCTCATATCCTGCTCTAGCGTAAGACGCGCGAAACCGATGACACACAAGCTTCAATCGTGAGAAGAAAAACAAAAAAGACTAAGGCGCTTTCTGAGAGCGTTTTCTGGGTGCTTTTTTCTTTACACCTCTTGTTCAGCCATACCTATTGTTTAATATTTATTGTGTTACCAACACTAATATCTTGCTCTACTGTGCCCTGCATTTCCATCTGTGCCCGAATCGTAAAACAGCAGTTCCACAACCACCTTGCCATGCACTCAGAATGAGCGTGCAGTAATAAGCTAATGCTTGGGAAATGGAAATCAAGTGTGATAACCTAAGAAATGGTGCAACGTAATCGCTGCACTTTGAACAAATGGAGACGTCCTTGTCGGTGCCATTGAAGGAACAAAATTATTCTCTCGCACTTTTACAACTATGCTTTCATAACAGATTTTAAGACTGTTCGTTCAAGAATGCAAGTACATAAAATTTTTTTAATAGCCCACCTTCTCGTCCGAATAAAACTGCCGGACTCAATTTAAATAAAGTTATTTCATTCATTGTCAACCCAAGAGCTGCTGGCTTCCATGTCTTCAAAGGGACACATTGATCCTCGTGTGGATTCTTCAAACCACGACACTCCCAACGAAGTATAATGAGCTTCAAGTATAATTCACGTGTCACCTTAAAGAGGTTGAATTACGTGGTAAGTCAGGACTCGAAAAAACGAGTCAAATGATCCTCTTTTTTTTTTTTTTTTTTTTGCAGAGTGTGCGTTGTGTAAATTGCCGATTGTCCAAGTTTTCCAAGGTATGCAGGACGGAGCATCATCACGATTAGATTCAGATTTGCTAGCCACGACGACTTAATAGTTAAGACATGCGTTATATACTTTACTTCAATTATTTGGCTTTACCATTTTGTCTTTGGACAGCAAGGCTGTCTCGACGTCGGTCCCCCAAATGGCTGAGCAAAACCAATAACTCGGCCTTCAGGGGCCGCCACCTTGTTGCCGCTTTCGGTAAGTCCGTACGCCCACCGCGCTTTCGGTTTTTTTTTTTTTTTTGGTCCTCGGAATACGCAAGCTGTGACCGATGCAGAAGGTGGCAGAGGTTCGTGTGTGCAGAAGAAAAAAGGGGGACGGGGTGTAAGTTGCGCGCACATTTCGGGTCCCCTTTGTCGCCGCCTTGCCTGCTGACCTCGGAGGTCAACTCGGGACTCTGACCCCGCGAAACGCGGGGGAGGCCCTCTACAGTGCGACGTGTCAGGTGCACGTGCGGAGCGCGCGCTGCCTGCCATCTGACGCCCGAAGTGCACCGCCCGCTCTTCAGCGGCAACTCCTTTTCATCAGCCGGATTTTTTTTTTTTCCCCTGCGTACTTTTATTACGAAGCAGGGGCGAGACCCCGCATGCAGAACGGTGGTCCCGCGGCGCGATATCAAGCGCGGGTTCCACCGCACGTTTTTTTTTTTCTTTAACTCATTCCTAGACACGTTGTGTTCCTCCGGGGTCACGGGGTCTCCCTCCCGCTTCGTCGCAGGAGACCCGCAACGTGCGGTCCCTGCTCCGAGGTCGGCCGGCGTCTGAATGCGTGGCAGCACCGATGGCTCAGTCGTGTTTCCTTCGTACCTGTTCTTTTTCTTATGTTTTATTGCAGCATTTTTGTAAAATTTTCATTTTTTTATGACTGCAGAGTACGTGGCGGCCGCATCGCGAGAAGTAGAAAATATATCGACATAAACACAGGCACACGTTGTGGTCTGTGACCCCCAAGGCGATAGCTTTCCTCACCGAAGACGTCGAAGCGGTGCTCAAGAAAAAAAAAACGCGGAGAAAATAACGAAGCAAGAAAAAAAAAGTTCACTGCGGGCAACACGCCGCATGTTCAATGGAAAGTGAGAAGGGCTAGAAAAAAAAGCATTAGATAAAAAAAGAACACTTAACCTGGCAGGGGATTGTTGAGAGTCGAGTGGGTAAGAAAAAGTTACGACATACCTTTAAAGGACGCACAGTAAAGACGAAGAAAACATGAAGGCCAGAGTTCAGAGTGAGAGAAAAAGAAAGAGAGAGAAGCGATTGAACAGCATAGGCGCAGGGCAGCTAAACAGAGGAGTTGAGGAGGTTTTGAGAAAGAGGAGAAAAAGTAGTCTCAGCCTCTTTTTTATGAATGGGCAGGGAACGTTAAGCAAGCTGGTCGAGTCACACACACAAAAAAAAGAAGCCCCAGGCCGTAAACAAACAGAGATGAAGGCTGCCTGCACGGACCCGAAGATTTTTCTGCGTGCGCAGCTTTCTGTTCTATTGCTAAGACGAGAGAGAGAGAGAGACAGAGAGGCTGGGAGTAAGAAAACGATGTTCCAAGAAGTGAACAGGAGTTCTCTACGAGGAGTTCTGTTTAGATCTCCCTTCTGGCTTCTATAGCGCGCGGCAGTTGCGCTGACTACGAGCTCCAAGTAGACTTGTTTTGACTTCTATTTATTTTGCTTTCACTACAGCGCCACCACTTCTCCGTGTGATGGAAGCGAGAGAAAAAAAAGAGAACGGGGCTTCACAGCTGTTCCGTGGCCGTCAACCTTCTTCCATCGACCCCGCCGCCTCGTACGTATCAGCAACCGCTTACGCAATGGGAATGGTGCCTTTGTTGCCTCCTCATACATAAACGCGTTCGACATATTACGGCGGGACACGTTCAGTTTCTATTGAAACCGCGAACGTTTCCATCGCATTTCCCATTTTTTAAAGCTTCCTTCCTATGTATGCGTTTACGTGGAGCGGCTGTTATGGCGACATTACGTAACGACAAGATTCGAATCGAGCACTTGATGCACGAATCACGCAGCCCGTATTTTTCCGAATCGAAGGGCACAGGCGATATGACCAGACCTTGTTTGCTTAACCTTGGAGGACATTCTCACTCAATGCCCAAAATTCTGATCGGAGATGAATGAAAAAAAAAAAAAAACACTTCTTGCCGTGGGTTAGGCTGAGGTTAACATATTCTCGTGAAAACCAAAGCAACATTTTGCCGCCCCGTTTCTCAATAATCTCCCGTGAAAATTCGTGTGATGTAAAACCTGACATCTGAATAATATATGATATTATCCGGCACAGTTACCTTGCTGCATTTGACACCTATAGCGTGTTTTCATACCCACACTGCTCCTCCAGGCCTGATACACACTCCTTATGCGCATTGTCACTTCGTAAGGATCGAGCCGTAAAAGTACAAAGTAGATAAGAAACGAAAATCTCCGCTGTTTCTATTAACACGTATCAGGCATTCAATAATACGAGTTATAGCCGTGGTGAAGCGCTTATGCAGATTCGGCAACGGCTACAACATGCTTATAGCTCATGCGTAGTCGTATATATCACCCGGAAATCATGCACTTTTATTTTTCTGCACGCTGCGCATACGCTGTGATGTACTCACAGATGATTGCGTCAAATGTATTTCCGCCTTGACTAAAATGTCAGATAGTGAAGTTCCATCGACAACCGGTTACTGAAACCAGCCGACAACGAATACCAGTATTTTCGCAAACAGGACTCATCGCGTTATTCACACTGCTCACACCACGCACAGTATAACCAGTTTCACCGTCCATAAAGGGGAACCAATATTGTCGATGCATTTCAACGCACACTACACGCCACAGTCAACACTGCACATATTCAAAGACGATGCCGCTGTCCTCGCACAGGCCGCCCAGCGTGTTCATTTCTCCGAGCTAAAAAGCCATCCAGCATGGCGAATATTTCATCACGCACTTTATCACACACCTAGATGTTCTCTGACACATAACACAGATAATGTTGCCACTGTGAGATGAAGATTAAGCTTTCAAAAACAAAACAAAAATATTTGCCCCAAGCACCGAGCGACTGCAACCCACTCAGCCACCGGCGGGTCGAGTGTTTTGCCAACCACCGCCTTGCACGTGCACCAGTGACGTCACGCTATGACGTACCCCGGTAGAGGTCTTTTGGTAATTGTGCCTAATTAGATAGACTAACAGACAGACAGACAGACAGACAGACAGACAGACAGACAGACAGACAGATAGATAGACAGACAGACAGACAGACAGATAGATAGATAGATAGATAGATAGATAGATAGATAGATAGATAGATAGATAGATAGATAGATAGATAGATAGATAGATAGATAGATAGATAGATAGATAGATAGATAGATAGAAAACGAAACCACAGAGCGCTTTCACATGCCTTGGGCGGTATACTCAACTCAAGACCCCATGAGTCGGGGCCACCCAGTGAATGCTCCCGAACGTGGTTCACAGTATCATAAAATAATGTGCACTCACCCGATATCTACTCTGCCAAGCAGCTTCCCGATTCCTGGTGACTTGCCAAGTGTAAGGATTTTGTCCGGGCCGAAGATTTTCCTGCGTACAATGAATTGAACATTATTCAAATGCCGTTGCTGTATCAAGACGCGCTTAGAGTTGTTAGCTCTTCGCACTGCAACAGTAAATGAAAAGTTCGTCAGGCTTCCTATATGCTAAATATTGTAATGCAAAATATAATATGTGAGGTGGCGTGGGGTATTATAGGAGAATTTGATTTATTCATAAATTAATTCAAAGAGTCAATAAATTTGACCGGCAAGAATTTCATATATACGACACAGTGAAACTTTTGCTCTCAGACAAGTATCAGTGTGCGAATTTGTCTTTTACTGCGCATTGCCGCCGAGCAGAAAAATAGGGCCGCATGAAACGCTAACGAGGCGCTGTGAGTGTTTAACCGCTATTTCTGTAACATAGAAAATTAGGAGCCGACCGGACAGCTGTGCTCGATTTTGGACTGGCGACAGGCGAAGCCAGCTGGCAAGCAAAATGTATAAAGTTATCTCTCCTGCACAGTCTTTACCGCTGTGGAGGTGGTGTGGGTGCCAGTGGACTACTGGCAAAAAAAGTGGCCTTTGCTGCCTAATTAAGCTTCCAGGCACGTTGCATATGGCTTTTGTGAGGGAGGGAGGCGGTATGACTCGTCACCTTGCTATTTGGAGACGAGATAGATGTTTGCATTCCTCCAAGCTACACTTTGCAACTCACCGCAGTCTAGGAGAAGGCACTGGTGTAAAGAAACCAAAATTCTCAATAAAGAGAGAAAAAAAAAAAGAACAGATAATCTGACAGGTGTTCCTATGACTGCTTTCTCCCAGGCGTTTGGGCCTTCCTGTCTCGCAAAAAGGAAAAGCAGAAACCTCGGAGCAATGCTCTTCGACCTTACTTTCACCTTCCACCGCTTCGCACGGTGCCCGAGTTCTAGTCTTCCCCACTGTCTAGGTCGTAGCCGAACGCCCGGCCTATCTGTGCCTCCTCTCTCCTTCATTCTTTCCACCGCGATGCAACCACCTCACGACCCGGTCCCGACCTGCGATCGCCGTCAGTTTCTTCCATCTCTTTTGCTTCGACGTCTCGGAGGTTGGTTGCCTCGCTTCTTCCGGCGTCGGTGCGTTTCATCCGAGCGCCCGTAAAACTTGGAGGGGGAAAAAAAAGGGAAGGATAGTAAAACCACGTTAAGCCGCCCATATAAAGGGAGAGAGTGAAGGAAAAAGAAACCCGCGACGCATAACGCGGGGACCGCAGCGAGGAATGGGCGCTAGCTCTACGGAGACGAAGGGAAGCCGGCCGGGCAGGGGGGCATTGTTCTTGGCGCAAACAGAGCCGCGACCACCACCGCCAGAGGAACGGCTTCTTCCACGCGCTAGTGTGTACACACGTACGCACACCGCTCGTATAAGCGTCGAGATTTTAAATTTATGCACGGTCACTATCTCCCTCCACCTCCTCTCTCCTTTTCCTCTTCTTTCTTCTGCTCTACACCGCGCTTTCACGTGGCTCCAGACCAAGATGGGCTCGGGTAATACAGGCCCCGAGCGGGCAACAGGTCTCTCGCTTTTCTTTTTCTTGCCTTCTTTTTTTACGACGCTCACCTCTTCCCAAGCTTCTCTCCTCCTTCGACGTTTTCTTTCCTCATCGTCAACTTCACCCGGGCCTAGCGTGAGAATCGCCGAACCGTTGCTCGAGCTCCCCGCCGATGCAACGGTCCTGCGAAGGAGGTCTTCTCCGTCGACGTCGGCTCCCCGGAAATTGACATTATCTCGACGGGCGTTGTTGGGTAGAGAGAGCCGTCTTGAGGGGTTCCCTTCTTGGGCATTACTTGGGGATCAGCAGGCTTTCTTTCACTTCGAGGTCTTCTTTATGCCCCCTCTTTCTGTTCCTTTATTTCCCCCCTTTTGCATTTCAGCAAAACTTTAGCCGCGTTTTCCGTCATGAACCAAGGGAAGACAATGTACTGGCGCTATTTGTTCGCTTTATTTTTCTCCTCTTTCGTAGTTTCTTAGCTTTATGTTTAAAGAAGGCGAGGAATGAGATGTGAAGCTTTTATCGCACTTTCACTTACATTAGACTGTCAGTAGAGAGAGTGAAAGTTTTTGGCGGCAGCGCCATAGGTTGGCGCATTCTGGCAATTCACTCACAGTCGTTGGTGATAAAGAATGAATATTCGGGCCACCATGAGGCGTTGCAATATTCAAGCACTTCAGCACTTGTAGTAAAGAAACGCCAGGCCTGCGCGCAAAGCGCAGCACAGTCACAGCGAAAGCTAGAAGAGCGGCCTTTCAGAGCCTTTTCGAAACACTTATTGGGTAACTACTGCAAACACACTTGCTTGATACCCACTTGGTCATTATCAATAAATTTATCTGGGTAGTAGGCCGGCATTCGCTTTGCTATTTTTCGTCATTCTTCTTAGGAGCGTGGTATCCAATAAGCATTTGCAAGAAATTTTGTGCCAGTTGTTCATGCAGTGGCTGACGACGATGAGGAATTATGGCTGAAGTGGGTATGCGTTATGCTTCATTGAGCTGTTTCTTACAGAGCTCCTAGCATTACCAATAGTATGCGCAGTATCAGAATCAAATGAATCCCGAACAGCAGCAAGCCTTCGCGATGGTATAGTGCACGTTGTCCACTTATCACTACAAACAGGCACGCATATATGCGCAATGCTGCTGAACCGAGGATGCGCGCGCCTGTCAATGGTGATAACTAGATGGTACGGACTACGCTATCGCAAAGGTTTGCCGCTGTTGGGCTTTTATTTGACGCTGATAGTACAATAACGTACAGACAGCGGAATCCCGTTGGCACATACGAAACGTATAATTCTGTGTACGTTTTTAGGCCTAATGCATTTTCTTTTCTTTTTGTACCCAGCCAATGGCCCCTTAGAACAATAAATTTTGATGCCTTTAGTGCGATCACAATTTTTTTTCCGAAATTGGATAATACGACCACTAAAGTGAACCTTGACCGATATATCTGTAAATCATTCTTTGGTATACTATAGCTCAAACTGCGCTCCTAGAAGCCACGATGGGGTCGCAGGAAAGTCAATTTTCCGACGAAAAGATTTGATTGATATGTGGTGTTCAACGTCCCAAAACCACTATATGATTATGAGAGACGCCGTAGTGGAGGGCTCCGGAAATTTTGACCACCTGGGGTTCTTTAACGTGCACCCAAATCTGAGCACGCGGGCCTACAACATCGACGAAAAGATCGCTACCGTCCAATGGCGATGATGATGATCCGGGCGACGGACCGCGCCTTCCATCTAACCGTAATCGCGATAGAGAAAGAAGGGGCTGACAATGTGCTCTCGTTGACAATTAAATACTTTGCAAGCATCCGGCGGCTGGCTTCTCGGCACGGCACGGGTTGTCGTACAAAACAGCTTCCGGCGAACGCTCCTATCCGTTGACAAGAAGAATGCTGCTCAATAAAATGCAGTTGCTGACGGAGCGTTCACGTTTTCCTTATTTTTGAAACCACTTATATTTATACGTTTTTCATCGTGATACGTTTTGTTTTCCGGCTCCCGTAAAAAGCATAACATTGCACTGTAGTACATTAAGAATACATCCCGGCAGGCATATTAATACCATCTCACCAAAACGTATCTTTCTTCAAATCAATCGAGGGCTGTTGATTGATCTTGCGATATGATTGTGCCTTCAACCTTTTATCCTTCCTCGTTTGCGCAAGGTTGTCTCGTGTTATTGAGACGTTTGCAAAAATGGATATCATGCTTGAAAGTTGACCATATATCCCGAACGATGTGGCCCATTCCATCACTCAAGAGTGCCGTTAGAATAGTAATCTGAGCTCATGGAAGACCCCGTAAAAGCCAGTTCATAAAAAAAAAAAACAGCGACTTGAGGGTTCTCTAAGGGTCACTTCCTTGGGACAAGAATTAGTCCATCGTTTGCAAGATCTGTTCCAGAAACCTTAGCCATTATGCAAAATGTTTATGCGTACGTAAAAAAAACCTGGATTATACTAATGTGAGCATTTTTATTTTTAAGGTAATATTCAAGTATCTTGATTCACAGCGATAAAATAAATTGCAGAAATTGTCTCACTTGCACGTTCTCAAGTTGCAGTTTCTTTTCTACGTTAACTCCTAAATCGCGTACTTAAGTTCACTTTACTGTCAAAAATTCTTTCACGTTATCTCTTCTTATCGTACTTTGATCAATGAAAATGTTATTATTTGAGGGAAACGCCGACAATTCAGTAGTTGGCAATGTTTTCAATTTCAGGAAAATAAATCCCAATAACACAATTTCTCGTGTGCATGTGTGAATTTCACGCAGGAAAGGCCCGAAACCTCACTGGTGTAGCCAGTGCGGAGGGGTAGGGGTTCAAACCCCTGTCCCTTTCTCCCTCAACCTCCGCAGTTTCTTTATTTTGCCAGTGTACACTGCCTCAGTTTTTCCTTGCTTTATTCTGATATATTCGAATCTCATCCACAAAAACTTCTAGCAACGCTCGGCGCGGACCACGTCGGCAATATAAACTGCTGACTCGCAGGTCGTGGGATCGAACCCCGGCTGCGGCGGCTGCATTTCCGATGGAGGCGGAAATGTTGTAGGCCCGCGTACTCAGATTTGGGTGCACGATCATTCTGTTAAGATTACGCGCAGGACGCGTATGGTCAAGTTTATTAGTTTATTCTAGAACGTACGCGAGCACCAGCGATAACGTTGGAAGATTCAATGAGTGATTTACTAAAAAAACACAAAAAAAACGACGCGTTCCAGCGATGATTAGATTACTGCAGGCCGAGTCTGTTCGCCGCCAGGTAATGTACGGCAAGGCGCGTGTTGCTTGTAGCCTGTCTATTCATATTCCGAGCACAGGTTCGCCCGAATAAAGTTTCGTCTTGAACCCCCCACCAGCCGCAGTCTGGTTCGACGCGCGCACACAAACGCAAGCACGAACGTACATAATGTATGGCTGAATGCCTCCCCCCCCCCCCTCCTGTCTCAGCGTCCGCAAACAAATTTCTGGTGCTACTGCTAAGCTTCGGT